AATGTAAAAGTTTGTATTTAAAATTGGCCACTTTTTTATTCTTGGATTGCTTTAATAGTATCCAAGTCTGTTGAAACAATAGTTGACTATTTTGAATTTCACAAAGATTAATCCAAAATGATTCCAAATATGTTTTAGTTGCAATTTTTTCCAACAAGATTGAGTATAAGTCTTTAGAACTTGCATGTTTATCCAAGAATCTATAATTTTTCAATTTGCTATCATAAAACCTGAGATTTATGTTTGTATTTACATGTGTACATTTACTTTCATCACTAAATATTTTAACTTTATAATGAGATGGCACAGACTGTTTAACTGTTATAAATTCTGCCATCCAATTGACTTTACAATTAAGTTTATTAACTATTTCATTTTGAGTAAGCATTAAGTCATTTACATACAGTATATTGGAATCTATCCAATTTTCAAAAAACAAACATTTGTTATTGAAAGTTATGTATTTATTGTGCCATATCACCATTTGTCTAATTTCTGCAAAGCTTATGTTGTGAGTTTTGGATTCTGAGCCTCCAAGAATACTCCAAGCATGGAGTATATCTTGGTAAAATTGAGGCAAGACATTAAAATTACTAATATTCTCAGGTTTTCCATATGTAGATTTAAATATCAGAGTATCTGGGAGTCCAGTTTTACTTAATATCTCTCTTGCTAAAATATTCCAACTTGCTTGTTTATTTCCATGTTCAATATCTAATAGCCATTTAATTTTGAAAGCCCTAAATTTAGATTTTAAGTCAGGCATTGAGAGTCCACCTTTAGATAAAGTATTAATTAGGACAGATCTTTTAATTTTGTCTCTTTTTCCATCCCAAAGGAATGAATAAAGCTCTGAAGTGATATCTTTCAAAAAAGTTTCATTTGGAGTTTCAATGCATTTTGCTAAATACATCAGTTTAGATAATGCAAGAGTTTTAATTATAACTATTTTTCCATAAAGGGAAATCTTACGTTTTTTCCACAAAGACAACGATTTTCTCATTTTGTCAGCTATACTATTCCAATTAAGATCATGCAATTTAGTTTGATCTATTCCAAAGTAGACGCCTAATGATTTTACTTCCTGTTTCCAGGAAATATTACAAAAAGTAGTATTATTATCATTTTTAAAGTTACCAAGTTTTATACCTTCTGTTTTTTCTAAGTTAAGCTCTAAACCAGAAACTGTTCCAAAACGTTGTATTTCTTTGATAGCTGTGTTAATTGAGTTTTTTCCATGAACAAAAAGAGTGGTGTCATCGGCTAGTTGACATATTTTAACTTCTTTGTTTCTTACTTTTATACCTTTAATTTTACTGTTGTTTCTAATATTAATTGCCATAGTTTCAGCAGCAATGAGGTAGATCAAAGCAGAAATGGGGCACCCTTGCCGAATGCCCCGAGATACATCAAAATATGGTGATAAGTGACCATTGTTAGCTACACAACTTTGTATCCCATTATACAAAGTTTTAATCCATTTAATAAAGCTCATACCAAAATTGAATTTCTTTAATGCTTCTATTGTGAAGTCAATTTCCAAACAGTCAAAACATTTTGAAAAATCTGCAAAAATAATAGCAGAATCTAATGTTTTTCTATATTTATTAGCATAATTAATTACATCACTTATTAACCTAATATTGTATCCAATAAATCTTCCTTTTATATAACCTTGTTGGTCTTGATTAATAATTAGTGGTAATATTTTATGAAGTCTCTGAGCTAAAATGTGGGCACATAATTTGTAATCTACATTAAGCATGGTTAAGGGTCTCCAGTTACTTAATATTTGGTTATCATTTTTCTTATGTAACAACTTTATTATGCCTAATCTTTGAGAAAAAATTAATTGTCCTTTACTGTGACCATGATTTAAAACATCAGTTACCATTTTACCAATTAATGGCCAAAACGTTTGATAGAATTCGACAGTTAATCCATCTTGACCTGGAGATTTATTAAGCTTCATGCTAAAAATAGAATGTTTTGCTTCATCATAAGTGAGCTCTCCTTCACAGAGATCAGCTTCCTCTTTTGTTAATACTCGTTTAATGTTGGTATTATCTAAATAATTTTTGATTTTATCTTTTTGTATATATTTTGAAGTATAAAGGGTTTTATAGAACTTCTCCTGCATTTGTAATATTTCACTCTGATTACTAACTACAGTTCCATTGGGACGTTTTAAATTATATATTGTTTGATTCTTCTGTTGGTGTTTTTCAAGACCAAGAAAAAATTTTGTGTTGCGTTCACCTTCCTCTATCCACTGTACACGTGACCGTATTTGGGCAGCTTTTGCCTCATACTCGAGTAAAGTATTATAACGAAGTTGATATATATCATTATTGTTACAAATACTAATCTTGTTAAGTAAAAATTGTTTAATGCTTTTATCTCAAAGTGCACAAACATTTCAACATTTACACTAGCTATAATAAGCATATGTTTTGTTCGGTGGGATTTGCTACTCCGTGGAGTTGCTGTTTTTCTAGTAAAACGTTGTTTTTCATTTCATTAAAGTAAACAAATGTTTCTTGCAAAAAATGAATATTATTGCTCAAAATCGGCTATTTTGGTACTAAATTGAGATCACAAAGATGTAGAGGTTTTTGCTAATTAATTATCAATTAGATCAATGACTCTGTTGATGTCCAGTTAAATTTAAATATTTTTGAATATTATTGTACATCTTTTGACTTGTACATATACTCATGGAGATAAATATGTCATTTTTACGACATCCGAGTCACAGACATATAGGGTATATACAGTATAGGCCCATCCTGTAGTTGCTATGCATCACATTCCATTTTGGAATAATAGAAGAATGCATTATCATTTGTTACTTCCCTGCTATCGATAATAAAAACAAAATTATCTTTTGTTTATTAATTATTAACCATTTAAGATTATTGAAATGTTTATTAAAAGATAAGCAGATGTGTTTTGAATATTGCCTTATGTAATTGGAACAATATGCTTCAATAACCAGAGTTATGATGTGAAACTAACCTGTTATATGGGGAAAGGACAATAGGGCTTGACCTGAATGAATTCATTGTGTGAGTGCTAATTCCCATTGTAATTTGTAGGACTGTTATTATCATTATACTGTCATACTTAGTTAAGCATGACTGATCTAGGTTTAAAACTTTATTAACCTCAACAAAAAGACTAGTATTTCCAGTACTTTTCATCATATGGGAGTCATGTTATTTGATTTCTAGTTATAGATGTAGGACTTCTTCTCGAGACTCTTTGATAACTCATATACAAGTTGACGAATTTGGTTCAAGCTTATGCCTAGATAGAAAAGGGAGAAAAGAAACTCAAGATGACCACTAAATTTTAAAATGGGTGCCATTTTTGGTAAAATATTTGATGGATTCCGTTCAACTTTTATATGCTGATGCCTAGGGAGACAGGAGTTGTTCTTGAGAAGGAATTTTTAGAATAACAGCTAAATTGGTCACCATTTTTTGTAAAAAAAGTAATCCTTGATAACTCAAATACCATTTGACAGATTTGGTTCAAATGTTATATGCTGTTTGCCTAGAGACAAAGAAGTTTTGCTCAGAAACACATATTCAAGATGTCGTGAATTGCAACGGACATTATACATGTATTATTGTACATATATTAATTTGTTGTCAATCACAGCATACATTAAATTATTAAAATGACTCACAACACACATTGTATTATGGTGGTGAGTCGCAATAAGCATCAAATAACTGTAGAAAATAGCAACATACATTGAATCATTGATGAATTGCAACATACACTATTATTGTGGTTATTAAATTATTAAGGTGAATTGCAAAACACCTTTTCTAATTGTCTCTATGATTTCACAATAGACAAGTGACACGATAAGTTCCTTTGTGATGTATACGTGAAATGAACATGAAGAAATGATCTCTGCCATCTAATTTTACTAACTTGAGCATCTTAAGTTGTATAGGTCTTGAGTAAAATGTGAAAAGGTGGCAAAAATGAAAAAAATCTCTGGTTTCAACCGATTTTAGAGCCTGGGATTCAAGAGGTTAATGTTCCTGGGCTTAGAGAAGACTCCAAAAGACAATCAATTTTTCACACCTGTCACTTAAAGGCCCCATGTAAAGTTTAAACCACTTTGGCTTATATTGTAGTCTTACCCAATGTTATCAAAGTGTGATATGTGAAACTTTTTTTTTTAATTTCAAAAAGTGGTTTTTGATAGACACTTTATTCCAAAATTTGTGAATTTATTTAAAACCAACTTTTAGAGGTCACTCATATCTTCTAATTAGCCACAATTCATACCAATGCATAGCATACATCCTCCCATGTTTTTTGCCGAAAAAATTAAGAAAATCGGTTGATAAACAAGCGAGAAATGAACTTATCAGTGCATGAAAATGGTTCTGAGAAAAATGCATTTCAAAATTTTAGTTCTCTTAGAAACCAATGGTACAATGATATCTAAAACATAATTTATTCTTCCTTTTAACCTGGTTAGACAATCAACATTTTTTTTATGAAAGTCTAGCATGTTTAGAAAAGATTGACATCTTCAATTTTTTTCAAAAAGTTTTGGTTACCTTAGTGACATCACTAATGTTTCAAAATATTTTTGATAAGCTAAAACATTGAAGTGGCCCATTAAATATGACATTTTATTATTGAAATAGTGTGTCTTTTGTTCAATCTTTGCATTGGTGTTAAAAATATAATCTTTTTTGAAATGCATTAAGAAATATTTGATGATTAAGAAATTTGAATATTTGAGAAATTAAATGCTCACAACTTTTTTTTCAAAAAAAGTTTTTGTTCAAAAATCTCTAAAATCACTTTTTAAGTCCTGACAAATAGTAAATGAATGATAAAAAAATATTTTCAAACTATAGACGGGGACTTAAAGAAACAATGTATTTACATGTTACAAGAAATATAAAGAAATATAAACTACACTATAAATCAGAAATTTATTGACAAAAAAAAAGATTCAAGATGGTCACTGTTTAATATGGCTGCCACCTTTTGGAAAAAGGTAATCTTTTTAACTCAAATACCAGTGGATGGATTTGGATCAAACTTTATATGCTGATGTTTAGGGACAACGAAATCTGCTTGAGAAGAAATTATCAAGATGACAGCTGAAAGCTTAAAGAATGATGTTAGATATGTGTAAAATACAAATAGGAAAACTACATTGGTCTGCAATGTTAATATGATTATTGTAAAAGATCTGATGTATAAGAATACACGTAAAATCAGTATGGTCACATTTGTCAGAGGCCTGGGATGATTGTCTATTTTTCTCCAGCAAAAGCAGTTTTTCTAGGGCTTGAGCCAGATGGTCTTGATCTGGGAATTGTTGAGGAAGGTCTTGAATAAGATGATCTTGAACTGGTCCCGATGGGTATACCTGATCCTCCTGAAACATATATTTACAATATTTATGCATCCATATTTCAAAATATTGTTCTCTTATCAAATCATATTAAAACCATCTCTGATTTATTCTGTAAAGCTGTCCTAAGTAATTTTTTATAATATTCTGATGATGTGATTACACATAAATGGAGTATGACATCAGAGAAATAATTTACTTGAACAATGAATATACATCCAAGTATAGGTGCATACAGGTAGAAATATGGCTATTCTAGGGAATGGCTGGGCCACTGCCAGTGTATTGTGCCTATGATTGTGACAACAATGAGATTCTCTCGGGGTAAAAATACAACCATTGCCCACCATTGATAATTATTCCCATTTCAGTCAACTTGTCATATTGCTTACAAGCTAAGGAATCTTTTAAGCTTTGATATTTTCAGAAGAGAATGTTTATGCCCGAGTCTATTGACTGTGAAAGTTATTTATCATTAAGAATAGAGAATGTTTTAATAACAGCTATTGATCAATTAAACAATTTAAATTGAAAATGTAAATAACCATACCTCTGCCGCATTGGTACAACTTCTTTAGATACATAATATCACAATTCTCTAACTTCACCCTTTGACCAAATGTCATTGAAGGCTTTGTCTTTGAAGTTAATGTTTTAACGTCTTTTCTTGAAGTGAACGCAAAGTTGCCATAATGCATTATGCTGTTGAAGCAGTAAGGAACATTAGTATCATTGTCATTGTCCCTCTTCTCGAAGTTGACTTTCACTGATGCTAAATGTAAAAACAGTGTACAATCAATTATTGTTCATGTTATTAGATCAGCAGTTTCATCCTTTTTAAATGTGTGAGCTTAAGTGCCATAAGAGGTAAAACCAAAAAGTATTATAAATACATATAAAAAGAAACATTAAGAGCAATACCAGTCAAAGGAAACAGAAGCAAACCACCAGCAATTCAAACAATGAGCTTCAGGCCAGGGGAGGGGGTAGAGGTAACAACTGGTCAATTCATTATACATGTATTTCTAGGGGTTAATCTCTCCAAAACTGGACCCACATCCAGGGTTGTTCTTTCAATCATACACCCACTTCTTGGGATTGGTTTTCAGTAACCAGACCCATTTCATGTTCAAAAGATGTGACTTTATACTGTCATACTCAAATAGATGTTTGCCCATTTCATAAAAAATGTGGCAATATTCTCTATTTTTGTTGAACAGATACCAACCAATAGTAAAGCCAAGCCCCTTCCCTCATTTTTGTCAAAACTATCAAGTGAATCTACTGGAAGACATCATCATGTTGACAACATCACCAGCGTGGGCCATATTCTCATTGGCTTTTAACTATGTGCATAATTATCCCAACAAACAAAATTCGGTATGGATGTAGTGAAGCCATCCGCCCATCTGTCAGTCAGTCCATCCATCTGTCTGACTGTCAGTCCATCCGTCTGTCCAGAAAATAACTCAAATACAGGGTGGTCAAGAAAAATATTAAAACTTTGGAGCATGTTGTTTAGAGTGCAGTTATATTGTGACTATCAGTCTGATGGTCATGAAATATAGGGGGCTGGTGGGAAATTGAATGATGTACAAATGTTCCAAATATCAGGGGGTTAATTCCCTGAAATGACATACATATGAGGAAAATATTGACAGAGTTGCCATTTTTTGACCGCCGCACTAGTAGATGGATTTTCTTCATATTTAGTGGAAAGATGGATATTGGTAAACAGTTTTAAGCAAAAGATTATCAAGATGGCTGCCACTTTGAAAATGGCATGATTTTTTCGTGAAACCAACATAATAACGATTATTGTTTGAAATTTTGGTAATATATTCACAAGAAAGGATGCAACTAGCAAAACCATTGTAAAGCACGAAACCAGTGATGGTTACATCAATTTGATTTAGTTCAGTTTAGACATCACCTTTAGGAATTCAGCATTTCTGAAATGGAATGTTTTACTTCAGTTTTGGCCCTTATTATTTTAATGAAATATACTGAATAAGGGTATTTTTACCTTTAATCTGGCTCCAATTAACTTTAACATAGTCATCTCTATCGTTTCTGGTGTGTTGATGAGACACCCCAATAGCGTGGAGTATTTCATGCATCATTGTACCAACCTGATTACAGCCTGTTCCAAGTGATAATTCCTGATCCAATCCTTTCATTCCTATTTCTGAGAAGCATCTGAAAGGGACATGGCATATATGGTATTGCATATCTTTATAGGTATTTTTACCTAGCAATTCTTTTATAAGATAAAAGTTGACAGTATTGTGGATAAGAAATCAAGAAGAAAATTACATGAATTACATGTATATTCAGGCCCATAGACAGCTTTTGCCAAGGGGGCTGTGTTTTTAAGAATTCCAGGGGGGTTTGAATTTGACAATTTTTGGCCCAAAATCACTCAAAGATATAATGGTGAAAAGCTGCATGATTTTGAAAAGTATTTGACCAGGGTGGTTCACTCAAACCCCCTGACTATGGGCCTAACCTTTATCTGAATTACTAACTATTTTAGATTAAAATACATGTGTACATCTGTTCATGCATCAATCAATCAATCAAGACATATGACTATGTTTATATGCTTTGTTATTGCAGCTTTGATAAAATATTAAAAATTACCCATCATCTTTGACGAAATTGATGTAATTTCTCTGCACTGTCCTTTCTTGAAACTTTATACACCTCAGTGTTTTAGAACTTATTTGACTCATAGCCAGTGTGATATTGTCAACAACTGCACTTGCTAAAACAATGGAACAAAACATGAAGCAGTAATTATTTATAAAGCATTAATACTCAAATATCAGGTATATTGATTCACAATTAATTTAACTCCAGACATAATAATGAGAAAAATGTATTACAGTGGGTAGTTTTAACTCATTGTTTTCCAGGCTAATTGCATACATAAAAAGCCGGGTTTTAGGGATCAAAATAAATAAATGATCATATGAAACAGTTTTGGTGCAATTAACAATTAAATGGCATTCAAGTAAGACATTGTTAATTTCAGGTAACACATGGTATAGTCACGCGGTACTAACTCACCGGGGCGTATCGAAACCAAAACGCCCCGCAAAACCGTTAATTTGAATTTCAAACCTACCCTTTCTTCGGAAAATCAATGATTGTGAGTCTTACAGTACACTGTTTTTCTTCAAACTTGTTCCATTAAAACCTTTACAGAAATACCGTTCACTCGAAACATGCTTTTGTGTACAGAGTCACTCGTTTTAGCGCCGTTTTGGTCCCCAGATGTAAGAAGATGCAAATCTTCTGAGATTTCAACCAAAAGCCTCGATATATCGCCAGTTCAAACTATTATTCTCCCCTATATTTTGCAAAAGGACTCCCATTACAACCCTCCATCTCTGCATTAACATATTTATGTCATTAACGCAGCAATTTCCAAAAATCTTACGCATGTGTTCGAAATTGATCAAAACAATCCGTTCTCTTCCAAAACGCCCCGTTGGATCTACCTGTACACGTTTGTAGTCATAGACTCTGCGGGGCGTTTTGGAAGACAACAGGGCGTTTTGGTCAATTTCGAACAGTTGCGTAGGACTTTTCAAAATTGCTGCGTTTCATGTAATAAATATGTTGATGCAGCGACAGAGGGTTGTAATGGGAGTACTTGCACAGAATATGGAGGTGAGTGATAGAAGAACTGGCGAGATATCAAGGATTGTGGTTGAAATTTCTGAGGGTTTGCAACTTCTCATATCTGGGGACCAAAACGCCGCTAAAACGAGGGACAATTTGTAAACAAAAGCAATGTCTCGACTGAAAGGTATCTCTGTGAAGGTTTTAATGGAACAAGTTTGAAGAAAAATGGTGTAGTGTGAGACTCACAATCAATTGATTTTCCAAAGACAGGGTAGATATGAAATTCAAATTAACGGTTTTGCGGGGTGTTTTGGTTTTGATACGCCCCGATGAGTTAGTACCGTGTGATAGTACAGGAACTTCACCAAATTGATTGGATGAAATACAATAGCTCATTGACTTATGTGGTTATATTTTGTTAAATATTGAGCGTGTCATACAAATTGCTGGTGCGTTATTGATTAGGCTCACGCTTTGGTCGTGTCTACTGCAATTGATTATCATGTTTTACTACAAGCACAATCACACATTTGTCTCAAGTAACATTACTGAGCAGTCACACTCTCAATTTGCTTTACATTGACTTTATTCCTAAAGTTCCTAAAAGTACAAAATATTTTCAAAATAATTTCAGATTATAACCACTGTTACAGACTGTGCTCTAAGCGGTGCGGATATCATGTGCGCAAGGTGCGGATATTAACGGTCATTTTTGAATTTGAATTTGTGATATTTCATAAAGGCATGTTGGGTAATCAGTTATAGTCATCCATTTGTATAGGAGACCTAATAAAAGGGAAATTCTGTCTATTGTTTTATTCTTCATTCTTTAAAGACGCACTAGGCATTCATCCTTGCTCCATATCAAAGAATTTGAAATTGATGCTTTATTACACAATTTACAGCCTTCAAGATCAGTATTGGTGATCGAGATGACCAATCAATATTAATTATTTTTGCAATTTAAAAGTCATAAACTTTCTTTGTGAATTTTTTTAAAATTGGAAACATTTATCAGATATGTGCAACCTCTAAACAAGCGGTGCGGATATCCGTCACTTTACGGATATCCGTGGATATCGGCATCGCTTTTTTGTATAGAATCACAAAGAAATCTTTCAACTTTCAAAATGCAAATATAATTTATATTGATAGGTCATCTCGATCACCCAATATTGAATGAATGTTTATGCTGTGAAACAGCTGCAATGCGATGCAATGAGTGAGTTGTATCACATATTAAAGAGAGAATCAGATATAGCGAGCAGGCTGAAATTGTTTCAATTTAAGAATATTTTTGGATCATGTCATTCCTTGTCATTCATATTTTCTAAAAGTCGCAAAAGTGCATAATTTATTCCAGGAAAAGGTTTTTCACCATTTTGAGCACTTCTCAAGTGATTTTAGCCATATTTAGGCCAAGATTGTCAAATGTGAACCCCCCTGGAAATTTATGAATACTGACCCCCCCCCCCCCCTCCCCTTGGCAAATCCTGGCTACGGGCCTGGTTAATATCTGCACTTTGCGCACATGATATCCGCACCACTTGTTTTCATATATATAGTACAGTCTGCATAGAGTGATAACATATTGATTGATTTTCTACCAAACAAATGAAGTGGAATCCCTCATAATTGGCCAATAGTAAGTTAGTAAGTCATTTTGAGAGAATCAACAATAGACAATTCAAAACATTGGATTAAGCTGCACAAACATTGTAAAAAGGCCAAAGTGAGCCAACTCTAAGATAACCCAGTGGTAAGTAATTTTTAAAAGAGTTATTAATTACATTGCCATCTTTCAGGTAGAAATTAAAACCACATTCAAGAAAACTTCTGTATTCCAATCCATATATGGTATGTGTAATGGATAGGTTTCATATAGAATGGCGTAGCGTCATATACGCATAAAACGCCATGGCATACTCTCAAAATTTAGAAAACAGTTGATTTTTTATATTGATTTGCCCCACACTTCAAAAATGGCTAATAATTTACATTCTATTCGTCCATAATAGTCGGAATTTTGTATTTCAAACGCCCCAGAACGCTTCAAATGCTATCTCATTTTCTTTTTCACTTTCTTTTTATCGCACCCTAAGGTGCTATATTGTAATCAGTTTGCCGGGTGGGCGGGCGTCCCGAATAATCTTGTCTACAGGTTTCCAGCCAAACCGTTTGAGGGATTCATCTGAAATTTTCACGGATGTTTCTACCTATGAAAGTTTAGAACTGATTAGTTTTTCGGCATTCTGGGTAAATGTTAAGGTGGCCATTTTGGATTTTCCGTCCTAAAATCTTGTCTGTCAAGGCTTGTCTACAGGTTTCCAGCCAAACCGTTTGAGGGATTCATTTGAAATTCTCAGGGATGTTTCTACCTATTAAAGTTTAGAACTGATTAGTTTTTCGGCATTCTGGGTAAATGTTAAGGTGGCCATTTTGGATTTTCCGTCCTAAAATCTTGTCTGTCAAGGCTTGTCTATAGGTTTCCAGCCAAACCGTTTGAGCGATTCATTTGAAATTCTCAGGGATGTTTCTACCTATGAAAGTTTAGAACTGATAAGTTTTCAGCATTCTTGGTAAATGTTAAGGCGGCCATTTTGGATTTTCTGTTCTTAAACCTTGTCTGTCAAGGCTTGTCTACAGGTTTCCAGCCAAACCGTTTGAGGGATTCATTTGAATTTCTCAGGGATGTTTCTACCTATGAAAGTTTAGAACTGATAAGTTTTTCGACATTCTGGATAAATGTTAAGATGGCCATTTCTGTTTTAGGGTGCCATATTGTTCACCGTGTTTTTTTTTCTTGGGGGGACCTCCACTGAACCCCCCTCAAAGCAGGTCTATTTCGCTTACTCGCGGCGTACACTCACAAAATACCCACGCTACGCCATTGATATATATTTAGTCATGGTTTTTTATTTCCATATTTATGTTACTAATCACATCCTGAGACATTTTTTTCTTGGTTTTGCTAGTTTTTCTGGACTGAACAAATTGTGTTGTTTACATTAATTTTCAAGGTTGTTTTTTTCCTGGCTGTTATAAAAAAATCTCATTTCATTTAAAAATATTTTGACTTACACAGTGAGCCTATGCATAGTTGTTTACATGTGTCCTCTTAAGATTTCAAAGCTCTTGGAATTACTGTTTTCTGTGTACTCTATAACATTTGACAAGAGTAAGACTTTTTCAGGGAACTGGGTCAAGTCTAAGTTTTTTTAAGTTTTTAAAGTTTGTCCTAACACTTCATATTCTTTCAAGAAAGAACCTTTCACTAGATTTAAGCATTGTCTACAAATTGCTCAGTATATGTCAACACTAATTTCTTTACTGTTTTTGAGATATTTGATGTCAAAAAATGGTAATGGTAAAAATAGTTCATTTTCCAACTTGCTTCAATTTGATGAATATATAAAGTCAATGGCAGGTTTTGTGAAAATTGCTTTAAAGTAACTTAGTAACTAACTAACTCAATAACTTACATGTAGTACCTAAGTCTAAGTCTGAGTATGTTAATGGCTTAGTAACTTACTCATTTAATTCATTTGGACAAAGAGGTTTTTCTGTACAAAGTTAATATTTTCTAAACATAGTGAGGTTACAATTGACATTGGGCTGTGGGTCCTTCAATAACAACAAAAAATGAATTAAATGTTTTCGGAATATATTTACAAAAAATATTTTGCATAAGGAAAAGCATTTCATTCAAAATCAAAGGATTGGTATCGATTCGGGTGAACTGAATTCAACAATGTTAATCTCTTAAACCAATCATTGAAAACATTCTGTAAAAACATGGTATTTTATATAATGTTGACTGATTGACAACAATTTAATGCGAAAATTATTTAGAAATATTTTATATAACTGTTTTTGTTAACATATATTTTTTTTTAGTGCAATTGTTTTTGCTCCTTTCAACCAATTCTTGATAATGAAATAAAATGTCTTTCCGAACCTTGTTGGAACAAAATAGCATATACAACATGTTTTTAGACCTCTCAATATTATAGTTTTACAAAGGAATTTTGGGTTGATTTTAAAAAAGTATTCAAAAAATTAAAACAAAATCCCCCCAAATGAGATAAAAATTAAGATAAACCTTTTATTTCATTAACAAGATACTTTTTTAAAATCAACCAAACTTTCCTTTTTACAATTACAATATTCAGAGACCTAAACATGTTGTGTTTATGTCGTTTTGTTCCAATGAGGTTCGGAAAGATGTTTCATTTCACTCTGGAAAGATGATACCAAGAACAAAACAAGTGTTTGATGTGTTTTCTAAAACAATATAGATGAAAGTATATAATTATATATTTTTCAAATTATATTGTTACCATTCGAAAGATGACCATTAAATTGACGATGTGATAAATTTTAGATTTTTCTATGACTGGTTTAAGAGAAACGTGTGTTCAAAACATTCTCCATATCGATACCACTCCTTTAACTAGATTTGAAATTGAACAAAGTTTTTTCAATCTAGAGTCTAATTATCATGTTATAGTAAATTGTATTATAATTATATATTCCATTGTAAATTGTAATTATGTAATGCTGTAAATGTGTCTCATAAGCCCAGGTAGAGCTGGCTTCTTTAAATAAGTGACACTTGAATAAATGAATAAATACCTTATAAACTGCATTAATCCTATGTAAGAATATTGAAAAAATGTCAGAAATCTCTGGATGAAAAGCCTGTATGTTTATTTCATAAAATCTGAATGGAACTACCTAAGTTGTGCATGTCATATTTAATCACCGGGATGCCCATCATGTATTTTATTTATCATGTTCTCTCAACTACTATTGCAGTAATTTTCAAATGGAACAAAACGAAGAAAGCAAATATAATACAGAGTTAATACAGTTTTTCATTGTGCATACTTACAGAACTTTGTGTTATCAATTTTGTAATATACGATACCACCAGGCCACAACTTTGGAGCGACTGCAGCATTCCTCACCTAAAATGTTGAAATGTCAAATGCTCCTTACACCTAAAATTAAACCTAGATAGGATAATGTCTGAATGTATCATTTTATAAAATCAGTCCAAATATCTTTATACTTACATGTGCATCATTTTCATGTGCATCATGTCATGATGGCATACTTATAAAGTAACTAAAATAATCAGTAGCTAACAAACTTAGTAAATGACTAAGTAACTTAGTTACTGACTAAGTAACTACAATGTACGAACCATTTCTTATTCAAATGAGTTGGCCATCAAATTGCAATCAACCTGGTAGCTGGAAGTTGCATTCACGAATGCTATATTAGGAATGCCTTGGTCACATTTGCTTCAATTTTCACTTCGGCGCCCGGCTGATTGAGTATTTTGTTCAAAATTGAATACAATATTGAGCAATACACTCAATTGGCTGGGCGCCGGCCGATGGATTGGAGCAAATGTGACCCAGGCATTATTAACTGCCTAAATGACTAATTAAAACACTTACTTATTAATTAGCTAACTAACTTCCTAACATAGTTTGCATTTTTGAACTGCTCGCGGCTTGGGTGGATAACTTGGTGTTTCTTGAGTTTTCCCTCCAGATGTCATGAGATCGAGGGATCAATGGGCCTCACGAAGCAAATTGCATGGTTGCATGTTTTCAACAAAAACTGTTCATCCAAGATCACTTACACTCACATAATTCTTTTGAAAGACAGCATGGTTTATTGCAATGGAAATCCTGTGGTACACCAGCAACTAGTCAACACACTCTTGACACAGTGGTATTATTATGAGTGTAAGTGCGCTTGGACTAGCTGCCTTTGTTGAAAATGTGTGAGTATGTAATTTGCATTCAGGGTCTTATTGATTTTTTCGAGATACCCGCTGAGAAGGCTCATTAAGTGCATTAAGTTTTCTTGCACCGCAGGCAATTCAAAAATGCAGTCTTAGTAAGCAATCGAATAGCTAAGTAATTATAAGGTAACTTAGTTGTTTTGTTAATTGCTAGCTTATTCGCTTGTGTATTTACATACAAAGGCTATGCATATTTGTCATCTAGTTATTTCTGAAGTTATTTCTTTTAATAAGAAATATCCCTGTCCCTTTCATCCTGTTTCTGTTTGTTAAATATCTGTCCGACCACATGATGTGTTGGACAAACACTATGATGTGAAACAAGCATCATCATATACATACTTTGCATTAGTGTAATTTGCATAATTTTATGTGTAGATCAAATATCTATATGCAAATCATCATTTTCCTTCAATAATGTGATATTCTCACATGCACTCCATATAATAACAATTTTTAAATAAAGCTGCCTCCAGACAATCATTTAAAAAGCAATTGAAACAAATTCATGAATGTCACATCGATTGAGTTAAAAGTTGCAAGGAATACATCATGAGGGTCACTAGGACCAGGCTAATTTTTGAATAAATGTATTTATTTGCGAGATCTGTAGTAACGTGACCATGCATCGTGGTCTCTTAGAGATGCATATTCTTGATGGTCTCTCGAGTCTCTACCAGATAAAATCTTGAATCATTTTGGTGTTGCTACTACACTGTGCACAGCTTTTGTTTCTTTGAAAAGCTAGTATGGCCATTTGACACTCTTCAAACTTTTTTGACACTTGTCATGTATTTGATATAAAATTTCCATTTTTTTCAAAATTAAAATGAATATAAACAAAATCTCCCAACCCATCTGACACTTTCCTTTGTTCCTGCTACCACATGTTTGGAATGCAATGAAACATCTATCCAACCCTTGTTGGAAAAAATGACATATACATTATGTACTTAGTTCTCTCAATATCAAAAGTTTGGTTGATTTGAATGTAGTATCTTAAAAATAAAAATTGAAATGTATCTTTTAAGTATCTATTTTTGGTGTATTTATTTATTGTTTTAGATAATTCTAAATCAATCTAATTTTTCTTGTATCCCTATAATATTGAGAGGACTATAGGCACATTGTGTTTATGTTATTTTGTTCCAACGAGGTTAAATTGTCATTCAATGTCCATCACATTGAGGATGTGTATTTTTCAGATTTCTTCAATAATCAGTTTAAGAGAAACACAATTATGAATTTAGTTCACCAAACTGCAATCAGTTATGAGCAACTCTATTACCAGTACTCATGTTTCTATCTATCCATGAGGAAATAGTCAACTACAGTTGGGTTATCCCATTGACCTCTGTATCAGTATGATCAAACTATTGCATTTCTCACCTTGCTGTCTGATACTAATACGTCTCCCTCAATTAGCACACCTTAAAAATGAAGACATCAATTCAGGAGTTGTGAAGTGCATTCATATCAATAAGTAGTAAATTTGGTTGAAAATGATCACAACATTAGTGTACTTCATTATTCATCTATATTTCACAATCACCTACATCCTAGGCCCAGGTGGTTTAATCATGGGCTTTCTGTTGAAAGCCAATGGTTTAATGCACTTATACCTTATTAAAAAAATAACGTGGTAAAAGATACTGTATATTTATAATATTACTAGTCTACATTATATAGTCTATGCATATATAGACTAATAGCTTTAAATGGATAAAGTTATAATTGCTAAAGGCCAAGTAACTAGTGCCATTGTGATGCAGTGTAGCTTGTTAATAAAATATTTATATAATAATTATTGAATGATGATTGGTACATTTCATCATTTATATTTGTATGTTGTATTATATGTATTGTAAAATGTCAAATGAATTTTTTTTTCAGATTTCAAACTGATTTTAGAGCCTGGGATTCAACAGGTTAGTTAAATTTTTATTACTTATTACATTTTTATTTACTAACCTTTAGCTTCTTTATCAGGTTTTTCTCTTTCCTCTGGCATTTTTTCGACTACAAATACAAAAACACATTAATTGACAGCATGCTTACTTTTCAACTGTTTGTCTTAAACTAGATTTGGGCATTTTGTCTCTTTTCAAAATGTCACATTGTGTCATCCAAGATGCCATTTTTGACAACAATGAGTTGAAACAAATGCCCTCTTTTCTGGGTATGAATATATTTCTAATTTGGTTTGTAATATGCTTTTTCCCAAAAAGGTAGAAAATATGAAATACAACAATTTTCTCTTACGTTCATCATCAGCATCTTTTATTCCATTATCATCTATTCCATTTTCACCTTCACCAGATCCCTCTTCTTCACTCGCACTTTCACTTAGGGAAGACTGAAAAGAAAGACTTTGGATCCATTATAATTGCCAATGATTGTGTGTCACTATTCAATGCATGAATGAACTTTGTTATTCTTCTTAGAGTAATTTTCTCATGTGTAGAATTTATGAAAAATTTATCACAAATCAGGAAGTGATCACATAATGCATTTTGCTCATCGCACAGCTCTAAAATTCAACAATTTTGAAATATTTTACATTATGATTTATCATGTCCTTCAAGAAACATATTTGTCATAGTAATATGATATTTGTATGTTTATAATGGATGCCTTTTAAAAAACATTTATAAACTTGCATAATTTGTTATTTAATTCAAGTACTGAGAATTTAAGATATAGATCTAGTATAGTAGGAACAAGGGGTTCCCATGCACCCATAAGGTGTGAATAAGTTACATACATTTTTGTAATCCCTAGGGTGTCTATTTAATGAATTCATTTGTTAACATTGCCAACTAATGTCCCATAGTACTTTTATGGCGGCATTCAGTTACCATGGTTACGCATCTTTAGACATCTTACCTTGGTATCTTAAATCATTTGTAGCTCTGTCATTATTTGGTCTATAGAAATGATATTGGTACCAAATTAAACCTCGTTGAATTTCCAATAAATTTCTGATATTCAATTATGCAAATTATCTAATTTGCATAAATTATGACGTCATCAATCTATTTTTGGTTCAGAATTTCCAACTATAGCAACGTATCTATTAGAACTGAGGCCGTATGGCAAAATTTCTGAACGGTTTTGTCCTTTATTCTATTAGAAGAAGGTATAAGCAACATAAAAGTGAAAACAGATTCAAAATTGAATCAGTATTACGAAAGTTATGTAACTTTCGAGGCAGCTATCGTGAATGTCATTATTTGACAATAATATACATACATCTTACCTTGGAGTCTTGAATCAATGTAGCTTCGCCATTATTTGGTCTATAGAGATGATATTGGTATCTGATTAAACCTTATTAAACTTACTATATGGTTACAATATTAAGTTATGCAAATTAGCTAATTTGCATTAATTGTGACGTCATCAATCCATTTTTGGTTCAGAATATCCTAGTAAAGCAACATATCTATTAGAACTGAGGCCGTATGAAGGAATGTGTGCATAGTTTTGTCCCTTACTTGATGAGTGGAAGATATAAGCAACATTAAAGAGACAACAAATCTTCAAAATTGGATCAGAATTAACAAAATTATCCAGCTTTGGAGGCAGCTACTGTGAACGTCATTGTTTGAGAATTATAAAAAGAACATTAAATTAACAAAAAAGTAACAACCATCGTTGTTCCAATCTTATTGAGTAAAAATGTACATGTATTGAACTGAACTAATAAGTATGTGGAAAGGTTACATGCATTTTGACTATCATTCACAGGGGTCAAAACGGTTATCTCGACCCTGTATATTAAAGATCCAATCTTATAATTTACCATGCACTTTCAATGATTCATATAAATAGTATACATATAGTCTGATTTTCATCATATTCTTCATATTCTTGATTCTTAAAGCATCTGAAGTATATAGCATGATTAGAAGTGAAGATGATTCATCATATGGTTTATGAAATATTTCTAACATTTCAGATGCTATGGTAACATCACTTGATAATGAGGTTTTTACATTTCACGTTCTTAATGAGTTAAAAGGAAGTTATTCTCCCTTTGCTTTAGAGATAAATAGTCGCATGAATTTGTTTTGAAAAATTATAACTTAATTAATTTAACCCCCCCCCCCTGACAGCCCCCATATTTGAAGATTTTGGTGAAACCTGGCAAAATACATTAATTATTAGGTTCCAGAAGCCCCCAGAAGCTTTATGATGGCCCCCAGTGGCCCCAAGAATCTATACAGGGGCCCCAAGTAGCCCCAAGAAGCTATACTGTGCTCCCCAGAAGCTATATGTTGGCCCCCAGAAGCTGAATAGTGGCCCCCAGGAGCTATACGGTGGCTCCCAGAAGCTATACAGGAAACCCTGTGGCCCCCAGGAGCTATACGGTGGCACCCAGAAGCTATACAGGGGCCCCCAGTGGCCCCCAAAAGCTATACGGTGGCCCCCAGAAGCTACACTGGGCCCCCAGAGGCTATACTATGGCCCCCAGAAGCTATACAAGGGCCCCCAGAAACTATACTATGGTCTCCAGAAGCTATATGGTGGCCCCCAGTGGCCCTCGGAAGCTATATGATGGCCTCCAGAAGCTAATTAGTGGCCCCCAGGAGCTATACGGTGGCTCCCAGAAGCTATACAGGGGACCCCAGTGGCCCCAAGAAGCTAAACGATGGCCCCCAGAAGCTATACAGGAGCCCCAAAAAGCTACATGATGGCCCCAAGAATCTATATGATGGCCCCCAATGGCTCCCAGAAGATGTGAAGGGCCCCCAGTAGCCCCTAGAAGCTATACGGTGGCCCCCAGTGGCCCTCATAGGCTATATGATGGCCCCCAGAAGCTAAATAGTGACCCTCAGGAGCTACATGGTGGTTCCCAGAAGCTACACAATGGCCCCCAGAATCTATATGGTGGCCCCCAATGGCTCCCAGAAGCTATAAAGGGTCCCCCAGTAGCCCCTAGAAGCTATATGGTGGCCCTCAGTGGCCCCGAAAGCTATATAGTAGCCCCCAGAAGCTATACAGGGGCTCCCAGAAGCTATACGATGGCCCCCAGAAGCTATGCAAGGGCCTGCAGGAACTGTACTGTAGCCCCCAGAAGCTAAACAGGGGCCCCCAGTGGCTCCCAGAAGCTATAAGATGGCCCCCAGAAGCTATGCAAGGGCCCGCAGAAACTATACGGTAGCCCCCATGAGCTATACGATGGCCTCCAGAAGCTATACAGTGTTCCCCAATGGGCCACCATATAGCTTTGGGGGCCACCGTATAGCTTCTAGGGGCTACTGGGGGCCCTCTATAGCTTCTGGGAGCCATTGGGGGCCATCATATAGATTCTGGGGGCCATCGTGTAGCTTCTGGGGGCTGCTGTATAGCTTCTGGGGGCCATCGTATAGCTTCTTGGGGCCACTGGGGTTCCCTGTATAGCTTCTGGGTGCCATCATATAGCTCCTGAGGGCCACTAATTAGCTTCTGGGGGCCATCATATAGCTTCTGAGGGCCACTGGGGGCCACCATATAGCTTCTGGAGACCACAGTATAGTTTCTGTGGGCCCTTGTATAGCTTCTGGGGGCCATCGTATACCTTCTGGGGGCCACTTGGGGCCCCTGTATAGATTCTTGGGGCCACTGGGGGCCATCATATAGCTTCTAGGGGCTTCTGGAACCTAATAATTAATGTATTTTGCCAGGTTTCACCAAAATCTTCAAATATGGGGGCTGTCAGGAGGGGGTTAAATTAAGTTATAATTTTTTTAAACAAATTCATGTGACTATTTATCTCTAAAGCAAAGGGAGAATAACTTTCTTCTAACTCATTAAGAACGTGAAATGTAAAAACCTCATTATCAAGTGATGTTACCATAGCATCTGAAATGTTAGAAATATTACATAAACCATATGATGAATCATCTTCACTTCTAATCATGCTTTATACTTCAGATACTTTAAGAATCAAGAATATGAAGAATATGATGAAAATCAGACTATATGTATACTATTTATATGAATCATTGAAAGTGCATGGTAAATTATAAAATTGGATCTTTAATATACAGGGTCGAGATAACCGTTTTGACCCCTGTGAATGATAGTCAAAATACATGTAAGCTTTCCACATACTTATTAGTTCAGTTCAATACATGCACATTTTTACTCAATAAGATTGAAACAACTATGGTTGTTACTTTTTTTGTTAATTTAATATTCTTTTTATAATTGTCAAACAATGACGTTCACAGTAGCTGCCTCCAAAGCTGGATAATTTTGTTAATTCTGATCCAATTTTGAAGATTTGTTGTCTCTTTAATGTTGCTTATATCTTCCACTCATCAAATAAGGGACAAAACTATGCACACATTCTGTCATACGGCCTCAGTTCTAATAGATATGTTGCTATACTAGGATATTCTGAACCAAAAATGGATTGATGACGTCACAATTAATGCAAATTAGCTAATTTGCATACTTGAATATTGTAACCATATAGTAAATTTAATAAGGTTTAATTAGATACCAATATCATCTCTATAGACCAAATAATGGCGAAGCTACATTGATTCAAGACTCCAAGGTAAGATGTATGTATATTATTGTCAAATAATGACATTCACGATAGCTGCCTCGAAAGTTACATAACTTTCGTAATACTGATTCAATTTTGAATCTGTTTTCACTTTTATGTTGCTTATACCTTCTTCTAATAGAATAAAGGACAAAACCTTTCAGAAATTTTGCCATACGGCCTCAGTTCTAATAGATACGTTGCTATAGTTGGAAATTCTGAACCAAAAATAGATTGATGACGTCATAATTTATGCAAATTAGATAATTTGCATAATTGAATATCAGAAATTTATTGAAAATTTAACGAGGTTCAATTTGGTACCAATATCATTTCTATAGACCAAATAATGACAGAGCTACAAATGATTTAAGATACCAAGGTAAGATGTCTAAAGATGCGTAACCATGGTAACTGAATGCCGCCATAAAAGTACTATGGGACATTAGTTGGCAATGTTAACAAATGAATTCATTAAATAGACACCCTAGGGATTACAAAAATGTATGTAACTTATTCACACCTTATGGGTGCATGGGAACCCCTTGTTCCTACTATACTAATAGTGTTCACGGTATTTTGTTTGCAAGTGAAGTGTATTTAATGAATTTTAACGTGTCTGTCAATGAACCAGATTCTGGCAAAGTAACTTCACAATCATATTGGCTGATAGGATAACTCCAGAAAAAATATAATTAAATAAATAAAAAATAAGATTATACACTATAAATTGCTTTAATTTGGGGGATTGGGCAAATTTTGGCTGCTATTCAATTTGACGGATTGACATTCATCAATCATATTAATCACTTCGCAGCTCGCCAGTGATAATGCAATTTTATCTCTCCTGCCATTAAATTGTTTTATCTAAACCTCTGACATTTTACCAATATTTTCACCAAAGTTTTATCGTGCAAGGCAACACATGTAAAATGCACTGGACCAAAATCCCCTGGAATTTTGTTTTCAAAAAATTGGCGGAGACCTAATTTGGCAGTTTTTATCAATTCGCCAAATCTGCCAAATTAAAACGTCCATCAAATTAAAGCAATTTACAGTACATGTACATGATTCTGTTGTCTATTATATATAAATGTATATATAAATGTCTATTGTCACTCAAGTATAATGTCATATTTCCCGTGGAATAAAATTCATATTGAAAATCAAGCATGAAATAACCTATATTTATCTTATACTTGAGTGACAATAGACATTTATATATACATTTATATATAATAGACAACAGAATCATACACATGTACTGTAAATTGCTTTAATTTGATGGACGTTTTAATTTGGCAGATTTGGCGATATTAAAATGATTTTTTGAAAAAAAAACTTTTTTGAAAAAAATAGGGACAATATGATTTTTTTCCAGGGACAATATGATTTTTCGAGTATATATGATTTTAAGAGGGATAATATGATTTTATTTCCCAGGAAAAACAGTAGTATTATTGAATAAATAGCAATTCTTTCTCATGAAGACTGTGCCAATACAGGTGACAAACTGATTTCTATTATAATTTATATTATAATAGTGCCATTCCTCTTTGTTTAATATGTATCTCAAGTTTTCAATTCAACATTGTTTTTATACACTAATCTACCTATTGCATTTCTTTACGAAAGGACAGGTGTCAATAAACCCCTCTTTTAGCCCCTACAAGTATATATGAACATGGAATTAGGCATGCAATTGGTTTTAAAAAAAAGCTAATGGACCAATTAAGTCTGTTAAATAGACCTGATCTTTGAGCTTATAACTTACCCGAGCATGTGCTCCAAGCAGTCCAATGAGGAGTAATAGATATTTAAATGTTAAAACATTCATTGTTGTTTTCCTGAGATCCTGAGTTCTGTCACCAGTTGAGCGATGAATCCCTTTTAAACACTATGGCCATCGAGATAGTGCCTGCAGTTATTGACAGGTTTTATATAAGCAAATTCCACTTTGGGAATATGACAGCTTCCCAAAGGCTTAAATTTAGGTATCCTATATAATATAGATGCCAATTGTTTAGATGGATGAAATTAAGCTGAAAACTAGTCAGGTGAAACAGAAGCATTTGTTTTCATATTAAGGTGTTTTAACTATATAAAATATGAATTCAATTAATTACCCTTATTTCTTATAAATATTCTGGTGATTGTGCTTTTCATTTAACATTATGTAAATATATCCATCCTCATAAAGATGCACAAAGCTTACTAGGCTTAGTTATAAGATTATGCAAAACACAAGCTTATACCCTTTTCAGAGAATTTAAATATTGTCATTATATGACCCTAACTGAGTAGCCACCTTAATTTATCATAACTTGATAAAAATATACAGGATGACACAAAAGTTTAAGCACCACTTTGAACTTTGTGAACATTTTTAGCTCACATGGTGAGCTTTTGCAATCACTCACTTGTCCGTCTGTCTGTCCATGCGTGCGTCCGTCCGTCCGTCCGTCTGTCAACAAAAGTGGCACATTTAAAACCTCTGTCGATAGGATTCCTGTTTTAAGTTATTTCTGTTCAACATCAATACAGAAAACTCCCCTATGACTCCTGGTTCAAAAGCTCGCTTATTTTCAAAATGGCTGCCATTTTTGTCTCGCGAAATTAACTTTTGAGCCATTTCCTAGCTTTACAAATAATCTCAGGTGTCCTGCATTGTAAAAATCCATGTCAATGTAAAGAGTAGATATATGAAATAATTTTGTTACAAAAAATCACCAAAAAATTATATCCATTCTTTTATTTTAATACATTTTAGTTAACATTGATTTGTCCATCTGTCTTGCGAATTCCAATTTTCCGTTTACAATAGTGGCACGTTTTAAAACCTCTGTCGATAGGATTCCCGTTTTAAGTTATTTCTGTTCAACATCAATAGAGAAAACTCCCCTATGACTCCTGCTTCAAAAGCTCGCCTATTTTCAAAATGGCCGCCATTTTTGTCTCACGAAATTCACTTTTGACCCATTTCCTAGCTTTACAAATAATTTCAGGTGTCCTGCATTGTAAAAATCCATTTCAATGTAAAGAGTAGTTGTATGAAATAATTTTGTTACAAAAATTGACAAAAAAATCATATCCTTTTTTTATCTTCAGCCATTTTAGTTAACATTGATTTGTCCATCTGTCTCTTAGTCAGTCCAAAATAGTGGCAAGTTTTAAAACCTCTGTCTGTCAACACTTGGCTCTTTTTAAGTCCTCTGTAGATAGGATTAATCCTGTTTTAAAATATTTTTGTTCAACATCAATAAAGAAAAAAAAACTTTGACTCCTGCTTCAAAATCTCGCCTATTTTCAAAATGGGCACCATTTTTGTCTCGGGGAAATTCACTTTTGGCCCATTTCCTAGCTTTACAAATAATTTCAGGTGTCCTGTATTGTAAAAAGCCATGTCTTTGTAAAGAGTAGTTGTATGAAATAATTTTGTTACAAAATTTCGGCAAAAAATTATATCCGTTTTTTTTTCACTTTTGAGCAACACCATGTGAGCCCAGTACCCACGGTACTAATTTTTGTTCTCTAGAATAGATGGAGGACAAACAGCATAGGCATAGCCAGTCCCCCCCCTAACTAATTTAAATACAGACATTGTTTTTGGCTTGCTTAATTATTCCACTATTGCACCCCCAATGACTGAAAGCTGGAGAACAGTGATACTCATTGTTAGTGGAAATGGGCTCACACCAATTTGTTCAAATAACTCAAATATCATTTCTGAATCATCCTTACCCTGTACATCTTACTTGAATGAGGACTAGTGAGACATATAATTTAGCTGATTAACTCAGCTTTATATCTGAGTCAGAGTAAATGAAATCTTCTCTTTATTTTGAAACTTTTGTCAGTTTTTTATTATTTTGTATTCTTGTTCAAAATATGACAGTTTGGAAAGGCATAGGTTAACATTCACTTTTGCAAAGTGAGATTTATATAACTTATTATGATCTAAAATCTTTTAAACTTTTGTTATAGACTTAGCTGCAAAACCTTCCAAAGGTAGAATAAAAACAGAATCTAATAAAATGCATGGTTGTGCTATAATTCTCGGGGCCGACCACCACCCATATGTACCTATAACTGGGGAGAGTGACTGGACGGTGGTCGGCGGTCTGTCTTTTTCGTAAACCCTAATTCTAGTAGCAGTTTTGATACCATGGTTTTGTTTTAAAGATAGGTTGTCTTAATTAAATTAATAATGAATTTTCTTTTTCTTTTTTAGCTATTAATACCTTTAATGATGGGAAAGCCTATAACATATCATAATAACCAGACATCTGTTCATATTGGCTTTGGTATTGTCTACATTTTTATTAAATTGCCTGTTTGTGCACGAGGGATCACTTTCATTTGTGGAAATACCAGTGACCAAAATTTATGGCTTCATATTTTACAAATATTATTACTCAGAAAATATTGAAACTATGAAATCCCATTTTTAGCTCAAGTGAGTGAGCTATTGTTATCAATAACTGTATGTCTGTCCAAACACTTGTGACACTTTTTTATTCAATTATTCAACTTCAATTTTTCGAATTGTTTGATTGATATTTTTATCATCATGGGCACTTCACTTGAAAGAAAACATATTATTTCAATAAAAACCACTGTATTTATACCCAGAAAGTACTCATGGTGAAAGATATGACTGTCTTAAATCACTTGCCATACTGCACATGGACCTTTAGATCAGTTTAATCAAAATCAAAAAATACCTACTGAGGTCTGAAAAGTGAAATTTTCAAGCTCAAAAGTCAAGGTCATCAAACTAGGTCATAAACAATGTTTTCAAAGTTTCTCAAAGACTACATATTAATTCCCCGGAACAATTCTTGTCATCAAAATTCCAAGAAAACCATTAACCTGTTCATCAACTTGAAAATTTTACAGATGCCAGTACCACGGTGTCCAACCCAAACGCTCTTACATGCACGACGGAGCGTTTCATTACTGAAACTAAACAAAGAAACGCTCCAGGGTGGGACAACTGGCGAGCGGGAATGATGAGCCGTCTGACGATTTCCCCAATAATGGGAATAAGAGGTATGAGTTACTTATTTCGAGTATACCATTCGATGGTTGTGATATTCATGTTGTACTTGGCTGGCTGTTGGCGTTTGAATTAAGAGCTGTACGAAGCAGTATAGTTATCAAAATTCAAAAACGTATTTGTCATTTTACCAGTCAAAACCCCTTTTGTTGAGACATGTGATTAGTTGAGCCAAGATTAGAGCACCAATGTATATTTTGGTCAAATTTCAATGCTTCAACGCACCATACATCATCATAATAGTGATTTGGTAACCAAAAGTCCAGTCTTAAAAATGATGACATTATCACATTTAAGAAACGCTCCGATCTGGTTAACACAGTGAACTGGAAACGCTCCGGTAGTCTAGATCTGTTTAGGAGCGTTTCGAGGTAGACAAGCGATTTCTCGAGAACAAGTAATGGATTTGGACTGGGAGTTTAGGAAATGAGAATATACAAGTTTGTGATCTACTACTTTGACAAAAAGATTGACGTCTTCTTATAAATACTAGTTTAATTCGTAATTTGTGGTCAATTCGTCTACTTCAGATTCGTTCGATCTACACTACGGAGCTTTGATCAACCAAATAACAGTTTACCACCAGAAGGTGAAGCAATAAGATCTTTGCTCACGGTAGTGTTCATCGAATGGTACATAATATGTCACCATGACGTATGATATGTAAGAGAAACAAGTAAAACAATACTTGCGGTCATAGTAGAATCTTCATTAGCCGCCATTTTATTTTGCTTCGGAGCGTTTCCGCGTAAATGAAACGCTCCGTCGTGCATGTAAGAGCGTTTTGGTTGGACACTGTGAGTACAGACTAGGTTTTGGGCATGCTGGGTAAATTACATAGTGAGCATCATGGTCTTCAAAGTGTGATATTTATCACTTTGTGTCAATTGATAATTTAAAAATCTTTCATCTTTTTTGTAATATGTTAGTATAACCTGAGACTAACATAGAATGTTATGTTAGTCTCAGGTATAATACAGTATCTTGCTTATATTTCATTGATACAACTAGGCAATGATATAATAAGTACATGTAATGCATTCTTATCATACATTGCATTTTTACAGATCAATTTAACCTCAACATTTCTGTTACTTATAGGCCTATAAGAAAAGAAAACTCAACACCACTTTTCAATTTAGAAAAATATATTTCTTATTGCACCTGGTACAATTAATGATAACCAAACTGATTGAACTTTCAACGTATTGTTTCATACAATAACGTATTGTTTCATACAATATTCTTTCTCATCACCTGGTCAGTTTAAAAATTGAAACTTTATATCACTTTCATAAGATTTTAGTTTGTCATGGAGATTTCAACAATTGTCAACCAGCAACAAATCTTCTTCGTGTTGTTGCAGATGTGCGGCGCACAGAAGACGATCCATAATTTCGTCTAGTAGATTGTTGTCTTAATGGTGCTTTTTTTGTGGTTTTAGGTTTAGGCTGTGCGTATGATTTTTTCACAGTGTTACTCTTAACTCCAGATCCTTTTGCTACAACAATATAACAAGTTTCTTAATAATGATGTTCAGAGCAACCACATTTTCATCATACAAGTGGGGTTCAGCTTGGTATATAAGGGGAGTGGGCATTGTAAACAAGAGGTATAAAAACAGGATGGAAAGAAACGGAAAATAGAATAAACAATGAATAATGTTGAGCAAAAGCCAAACATGAGATATTAGAGTAAGATTTGTTTACTCACTTCGAGAGCCATGTTAGATTTTGAAACTTATGGCTCTCAAACGGAGATGTGAACAGCTGATCAATAGTGACCTTTGAAATTGAATTAAGTCGATCCGCGGCTTACTTTTGGTCTCTAACTGTGTCTTACATCAGTATCATCAATCCGTGTAAGTATTGGAGCGCTGGAGTACTTCTTTTTCGATCAAGACTTGTAAATTGTTCATCGAGTTAAAGTTTTACAGACCTATTTCCAATATGGCGGTTTGCTAGGTGCGAGATACGCAACGAACGAAATGAATTTTGAGAATTAGTTAGGTTCGGACAACCTCCGGAGATTTACGAAAATGTCCGAGCAGAAACCGCCATATTGGAATTTGGCAGTAAAACGATTCACTCGACTAACAATTACAAGTCTTGATCGAAAAAGAAGTACTCCAGCGCTCCAATACTTACACGGATTGATGATACTGATGTAAGACACAGTTAGAGACCAAAAGTAAGCCGCGGATCGACTGAATTCGATTTCAAAGGTCACGATCATTGAGCTGTCCAAATGCTCCGTGGGAAAGCTATTATATCAAAATCCAAATAGCTTTCGCAGGAAGTAAAGATTTGTAACATGAAGGCTACTAAGTAAAGAATTTGAAATAATGGTGATAAAGATATTTTTGCTTTCCTCAGGTGTATTTTCATGATATTTTTTATTCAATAGATGATTTGATTCAACCTTTAACAAAGTTTACTTTACCTGTGCACATATACATTTTTCTCAGAACGGCAATATCTCCCTTGCTCAAGTGACTTCTTTGTCCAAATATAAGTTTAGGGTTCTTTTTAGACTGCATTGTTTTAAGATAGGGTCGTTTTGAAAAGACAAAGTTTCCATAGTGCATGATGCTACCAACGTCGTATGGTTTATGGTCATATTTTGACAGCGCCCTCTTTTTGAAGTTAATGATTTTCCCTAGGTGAGAAGACATGATAACAATCAATTAAGTTGATTATAATCTAAAATAATGATTTTGCAAAAACTTTTAGACTCTTAAAGCGATTGGGAAATATCTATTATGTTGTAATTATGTTTATATGATCTGTATAGCTTAATATTCCATAAAAGTTAAATCAGTAACAATTTATCAACAAATATAGCATAAGATAATTACAAAGTGAAAATGTAGTTACCTGGGACAATAAATAAATGTTTACCTGGTATGACATTTTTCCAATTGACATGGACATAATTGTCCCTATTCGCTTCTGTATGTGCATGTTCCAGCCCAAGAGAATGTAACAGCTCATGTATTATTGTACCAATCTTTCTACAGCCTATACCCAACGATATATCCTGTCTACCTCCCACCTTACCAACCTTAGAGAAACACCTATAAATCATACAAAATATGTTCTGGTTTTATTTTCCAGTTGACCTTCATTGGATTAATGGATTATTTATTTTAAAATTTATATTTTTACTTTTAATATTTCAAAATGTTGTGGTATATTTAAATGAAATTTCAATTTTGTTTTTCAGAAATGATCATGTCAAAAACTTCAGTTTTCATTTTGTCTGCAGTTTGCTAAGTATTTTATTTGGAATATAAGCATTTATCCAAAGCTTGAAGCTCTAAACTAAAGAAAGAAAATTATTTATCCAATTACCCATTTTTGCTAGTTAAAAAGACAAAGTCATCATCAGAATATGATTTTGGTGAAAATTCTATGCACTTTTTTCCACGAATTGCAACAGCATCTTCTATCATTTTCATTGCCTTTGTTATATTTGCACTCGTTCTTGATGCTGAAACAGATTAGTATGGGCATATAGTATATGACCCACTTAATGCCCCGGGCGTAAGGCTTTTTCTCATTTGAATAGTGCCTTTTAGAGAATTCATTAATTTAATATTCAGGGTTAGTCCAACCATTATCATATAGACTCTTAATATAGACTTTCCATGGACTTTCAGAATTTTGTTGTGTAGTTGTTCATTGTAAATCTTAAGTAAATGCTTTTAAAAAAATCAAGACACTACAGAAATCAAAATATCAATATAATATGGGTTTATAGAATACTTACATATTTTCATTTTATCAATTGCATATATCACCTTTCCCCTTGGCCATCTCAAGGCAGAATCTCCTGTTCTCGCAGATTTGAATTTCTGAAGAAAATTTATATCATCCATAACTATCAGAGAGATTTTAATTTGATAATATTAACTTGTGTAAAAGGCAATTTGCAATTTTGAAAGATCAAATGTATTAACTTTTGCAGAAGATCAAAAGTACAAAGTCAATACAGTTTCAGTGTCTGTAAATATTACTTGCTCATGAATATGTTTATCATATTTATTTGAAAAAGATCAACCATTGATAATTAGGTGTCATTAACAGAAACTTTTTATCTGGATAAGAATTGTGAAAGTCATTATATATTACAACAGTTGCCTTAGGAAGTTAGAATATTATATTTCTGAATTGTGCAAAGGAAAATTCAAAATTGCTGCCTAAAGTGGAAATTCACAAAAGGTCCATGTGTAGTATGGCAAGTGATTTTAGACAGTCATATCTTTCACCATGAGTACTTTCTGGCCATAAAAACAATGGTTTTTATTAAAACAATATGTTTTCTTTCAAGTGAAGTCCTCATGATAGTGAAATATTAATCCAACTCTCTGAAAAATTATGGATTAGGGCCCTACCCTGGCAATTTTTAAAAAATGTTAGGCTTATTTTCTAAAAAGAGGACCTTGCTTTTCTCAATTTAAACATATCAAAAAATTCTTCTACACTATATGAACAATTTCTGAAAAGGGGATGCGTATTGAAATGCGTTAAAGTTAAAAACCACATATCCCATGTTATTTTCCCCATGGGCTCTATCAGGGAAAACTCGTGCTATCCATTGTTTTGGTCATTGAAAATTGATATCTTCAAAACTAGACTTTCAGTACAATTATATTTTTGAAGATGTTTTAGACCCCTTGTTGAATAATCTTTTCATGCAATAAAAATCAGAAAAGGGAGATCCTCTTTTGAGTAAATAGGTTCGATATTTTGAAAAAATGTTGACATGGGGTCCCTATTCATAATTTTTCGAATTGTTCGATTGATATTTTTATTATCATGGGTACTTCACTTGAAAGAAAACATATTTTTTTAATAAAAACCACTGTATTTATGCCCAGAAAGTACTCATGGTGAAAGATATGACCGTCTAAAGTCACTTGCCATACTACACATGGTCTTTTAGGGATATATTTATGTCCAAAGTATGGTTACATTATCCTGCATTATATCACAAATATTGTTTGTGCCAGTGAAACTTAAAAATGGCCAACCAAAACTGGTGGACATTCTGATATATCTTTAATGTCTGTCTCATTTTCTCTAGGGTAGAATAGATGGTAAACATTATATTGTGACATAAACAGATTCATGAATCTTTTGTTCGTTGGAATTTTCTACTCTGTGGAGTTGCTGTTTTCTTGTTGTTGAATATTTAGATTATCTTACCTCTTCACTTCTATCTATATCTCCTTCTGACAGATCTGAAACAACAGTTACAAAAAGCATCTTTATTTCATGGATATGATCCTGATTGTAAACAATTCCCCAAGATATATGGCTATACAATATTTTTAGATGTGATGAAATTGAATATGTTCAGGGAAAGCAATTTTCATTTACGGTTTATACAGATGTATATTATATCAAATTCTAAATAAGTTATTTGTTATGCCTCTATCAAATTCAAAATCACATACCACCATTCTCCTCAGGATTGTCTTCAACTGTAAAAGAAAAAATATATACTATATGTCAAAGCATATTGTGTTTTGTATACTATATGTTGACGCATATTGTGTTTTTTGAGTTAAACATTAAAGTATTAATAGAGCAATAAATGTCAATGTCAATTTATAAAAATTGCAAAACTTTATTTATGAATGGTAAAAATAGCTTCCCAATAATGAGACTTGGATAAAATATTTTATTCCTACATTACATCTAGCTGTACTTTACAACTAGATAAAAGTGATTTCCATTATTTGAAGTACAGCACTAGTCTGTTCTTGGTTTTTTTGTCTTGGAAATGTGAAGAAAATGACAAGAGTAGACATGAATGAAAGAAGGGATTGCTTGTTCTGTCTCTTTGACCTCATTACCTTCTTGGTATCCATCTTCTGGTCCTTCCCCAAGTTTGCTCTCACTGGGCTCTTTCTCAATCTCATTATCATCCTGATTTCACAAAAAATTCAAATAAGAAAAATTTTACATACAAATGATGCACATTCGGTGAACCAAATCATACATGTTAAAGCAAGAACCAGATCTATATAAATAAGAAAATTCTATATATAAATAAGAAAAATAAGAAAAAATTTACATAGACATTTTATGGTGCACATTATGTGAACCAAATTGTACATACTAAAGGAAGAATCAGGTATATAAATAAGAAAATTCTATATATTAATAAGACAAATAAGAAAAAATTTACATAGACATTTTATGGTGCACATTATGTGAACCAAATTATATATACTAAAGGAAGAATCAGGTATATAAATAAGAAAATTCTATATATAAATAAGAAAAATAAGAAAACATTTACATAGACATTTTATGGTGCACATTATGTGAACCAAATTATACATACTAAAGGAAGAATCAGGTATATAAATAAGAAAATTCTATATATAAATAAGAAAAATAAGAAAAAATTTACACAGACATTTTATGGTGCACATTATGTGAACCAAATTGTACATACTAAAGGAAGAATCAGGTATATAAATAAGAAAATTCTATATATAAATAAGAAAAATAAGAAAACATTTACATAGACATTTTATGGTGCACATTATGTGAACCAAATTATACATACTAAAGGAAGAATCAGATCTATATATATAAATAAGAAAATTGTATATACAAATAAGAAAAAATTAATTAGACATTTAATGGTGCACATTATGTGAACCAAATTATACTTGTTAAAGGAGGAATCAGATAAGATTCATAATAATCTCATAATTTAGGGGTAACAATATTGCTTGAAATATGAACAGTTAACCTAATAATGTATTCCTAAGGATCTCAAATATAATATGAATAAAAATCTGCAATATGTATTAATTGGTGAAGTTATTTGAGATTCAAATGCAAAAATGGGGAAACTGTTTTGAACTCTCCCAACTAAGTGTGAACTTTTATAGTACTGGAAATTGGTTATTTAGTACTTTTTATTGTGTATAAATTATATAAAACAATGTACATGTAACAGTTATAATAGCTCATAACATTTAATTAAGTTATATGTTCAGTGTAATTATCTTGAATTAAACATGACTGTTTGACTAAAGGATAACAATGAAGCTTAGAAATCATATTGGTAATTATATTGATGGTGGACTTTTTTCTTACCATTGTCTAACCTTTGATGCCTTAGGGCATTAGCTAACCATTATATAGGTCCTATAATTCACTTGGACCCCTTGAAGGGGATATTGAATATCTTTCAATGGAGCACCTCCCCATCCTTCATTCAAAGGACTTCATTTATTACTCAAAAAGAAGTGAAATACCCTTGGACCAAGGATGCACCTCCATGGTGGAACACTTTTTAGAATACTGACAGAGGTTCTAAAATATTACTATCAAAAAATTAAATGAATATCAAGAATAAAGAAACAAAGAAAACTTTTGTATAATGGCTAGATTTATGACAACATACTTTGCAGGTTCAAATGTTTGTATTTCAAATTGAAAGAATTCTTTAAAAGAAACTGTAGCAATAAGTTGATCCGATTGCCACTTGAAGCTGTGAATGACATCAGAAATCTTGCAAGTATTCAATGATTACTTATTCCATGTCACAGCATGTTTAAAGTTAGGTAGAACTGTTGAAAATGTCATGGTTTATTCGAAATTTTTCTGAGAATATATATATGAGGCAGTTATAGAATATTTAGGGTGTGCCAAAAAAATCCACATTTTAATAATGTATAGTTTTTTGATGGAAGTGCAGGAATCGGCATAAATTACAATAGTAGAATAAACATCAAAATAGGAGTATGCATTTACGCTGCATTGACCACTGCAAATCAAGTAAAAATATATTTTATTCACAAGTTAAAGTGAACATTTTTTGTTAGCATTAACAATTTGTCAAATCAATCTTATAACAGTATTTACCATATAGTTGTTTAAATAAAAATGCAAATTAACTTGTTAAATGAGTACTTATCGCATTTATTTTACAATATTAACAGGATATGTCAAACAGTATATCTATTATAAAATCCATCTAATAGTTGAACCGTTCAACTCATCCAGGGTTTGCTTTATAATTTAGTATACCTGTCAATATATGATTGTGTATATAACATAAGACATTAATTTGATTTCAAATTATCTTAATTAGTATAACTTTGTAGTAGTAGGTATAAACTATCATAATTACTTACTTCAATAGTTTTAGAATTTGAAATTAGTAATAATCCAATGAAATAAGCCAAGAATAGAAGTTTGTTTTTCATCTTTCACCTCTTGCCTTGTTGGTGTCTCAAACAGGAAAGATCCAATAATTCTGATATATTTATTATGAGACAGCAAAAGGCAATTAACCAGGAAGTAAAATATCACAGTGTAGCACTTAAACAGAGGAAACGGGCCAATGTAAAGGCAGAATGTCAAAACAGAAGAACATTCTCTAAATTAAAGCAAGATGTGGTATAATTGGACAGTTTATAAATACTCATGTAAAAAGACATTACTTGACAATTTAAACATATGAAAATATCTTAGGGAAGTCAATCAGTGATGCAGCACAATACTTCTGGCCATTTTGATCAATAAATCATATTGTTATAGTAATTGAACTTTCTTAATTTCCCCATGTCCAAACAAATTACATCTGTAATGATTTTTCATATTTAATTAAGTTGAATTTACTTTTTATTTGGTATCTTCAATGTGCACAAAGGGCTGAAAGCTTACATTTGAAAGCAAGATATATGATCAAACATTAAAAGGTGTATTAAAGGGTGTCCTGAGAATCTTGTCACTATCTTGTAATCTAATTTAATAATGTATACCTGGCAAAAAAGTCTTAGTTTTGATTACCAATTATAGGATAGTTATATGATGATGGTTATCTTCATACTGTTTTAAAAACCAGTTTGTTTCTTCATTCACATGTTATACCTTGATAGATCAAGATGTGTTATTACCATTATGATAACAACTACAGGTTTATTCTGAAACGACTGTGCCTTTAAGAATAGCTGAGGGATAAAAAAGAATTATTTTTTAGATATACAAACTACTTCATGATACAATTGGGTAATCATACATTATCATCAAAGTTTGAAATTTGTTGTTTCATCTTGATATGTAATTTAATTAAAAAGTTAAGTCAGTTTGAAAGATATGCATTCTTCTTAATTTAACATGTTATACAGTGAAAGACTTTCTGGACACTCTGGACATTATCATTTTATTTGGACAAAAGGGGACATTCAAGGGAAATATATTCTGAAAATCATGATTGTTGTAATTTATTTAAATCTTAAATCTAAGATTTAAATCTTTGGTCCAATATTTGGTCCATTATTTCATTTTCAATATCCCAGATGCGAGTAGAAATAATCTTGATTTACGTCATTAAAAATCCACAATTCAGTCAAACTGATGTCATATTTGGAATCTACATGTAAAATTACATTTAGAAATGTGGTTTTGAAAAGAGTTTATCAACTTTGAAAATTTAATTTTCTTTGAAAATGAGATTTCTAGGTCGGGGAGATTCCCCATATACCCCATGCTGTAAAACCACAAAAAGTGAAATATCTTTTCCTGTGTTGGGCAGATAATATTTTCTTTTACTGGACATATTTTAATTTGTATAACTATCAGATACATAAGGGTTATATGAAAAGTGAACCACTAAAACTGATGCATATTCAAGTTTAAGGGAATTTTGTAATACCCTGCCATGTTAATTCCCCCGAATCAGCCACCTGGTGGCGAAACTGGCAACTACCTACTCGCATCTGAGTAATTCTATTTTTAAGATAGCAATAAATCATAGATAGGGAATGAAATTAGTTTATATCTGTAACAATTATTGTGCCATGTGGTCTAGTGAACAAAAATAATAGAAAATGTATGACGCCATCACAAGTGGTGACATATTTGTATAGTCTCCAACTTTTCTTGTGGATGGTATTCAGTGGTTGGTGTCTGTAAGAAATGGCAGGTGACATTTTGCATGTTAATACCTTGTTTTAATTTTGTTTTATTTCGAAGGATAACAGATTTGAAGATATTTTATGTTTTTATTAAATGATATTGTGTATTTTACCACTGTGAGTATATATTACTTTCCAGCTTAAATCTTTATTGCAAATGGGTTCAATGTATAATTCATATCATATTCCATGGCAAAACAATAATATTAGCTAAGGAATTATTTTTATAAAGATTTGTTAAGTTTTTTATGCAAATCAAGTTTTTCATTATTAATCTCTTTTAGGTCATTGTCGTGGGAATCATAGTGCATTCATTGTAGGAGAATTTAGATGGATACAGAAAGTAACAATTTAAATTTCAGTTTGAGTCACCATTTAATCTCCAGTCCATACTTTACTATGGCAAGAGAGAATCGGAGAAGCGAGCAGGCTCAACAAAAAATTGTTTCAATTTTAGAATATTTTTGGCTCATGTCATTCCTTGTCATGTCTATTTTCTAAAAATCACAAAAGTGCATACTTTATTCAAGGAAAACGAAAGATTTTTATAATAATGTATCATTTTTCTATAAGAATGGTTACCATTCTTATTATTTGGGAGAATTTAAACATTTTTCGCCCATTTTTGCACTTTGAATCATTAATAACTTCACCAATTTATAACATATTTTGAATCTTTTGGGAGACATTGTATTTGATATTGTAAGGAATAGATTGGTAGGTCAGTTATGCATGTTGCTTGTAATTTTGTCACCCCCTATCTCACCCCGGGTGATCAATATCCTGTGTTCCGAATTTCGTTCCAGCAAGTCAGTGACCCGAGTTGTGTTTTTACTGAATCCCGATAAATATGGCGTCTCGTTCGCCACTGGACGAGCCAGGTGACGAAAATGTGTCAAACAAATCAGATAGCATAAGGTAAGAATGAATATAGAGTAATGCATTCGGTGCTGGAATATGTTTTCAACATGTTCCTAAACGATTATCCATATGTGTAGGCTATTAATGCAAATCGAAGCATAAAACCAACATGACCCAGTTCGAAAAGCTCGCAGAAAACGATATCAGCGAGTCGTTCTTTGCCTTCTGTAAGTAATGATGGATACTCTGAGCATTGTATAACTGTAAAGTATACCTTATTAGTATGTCTCAACTTGTGCTATGTTTGAATCCAAGCTATTATCTTTCATAAGCGTCATAGAAGTCGTTGAAAGATATATTCCATTCTACCGAATAGGAATAGTCATTGTCCCGAAGCTACAGAATAAGATTATATATATTTCGTATACTTTTGAGAATCCATTCATGAATACATCAAGCTAATTTGGTGCTACCTTTCTTGTTATTATTTTACAAATTCGAGATCGAATTTCCCTGTATATTGATTTCCACATTGGCATTGAACTGCAAATACAGGGTGTCCCAAAAAGCGTACCCACTTTATAGAAGGAATATAACTATTAAAAAAAATTGAACTTTTCACATGATTAGCGGTTTTACCAAGGGTGGAGTTTTTGCCAAGGGGGGGGGGCTTTTTGACAGTTTTGATAGCACGATCGTATGTATAGTATCAGTATCTCAATGATAATACCTCAATTTGAGGTTTATTTGAGCCTAGCCTTCTACTATAAGTATGATCTGGCTGGCATCTGTTGTTTTGGCAAAAAATCATGTGAAAAGTGCTCAGAATGGTGAAAAACTGCAAGTTTTTGAGAGAATTTCTGACCAGCCCCCCCCCCCCCCCCTCCTATCTGCGGGCCTGATTTAATAAATTATGCATGGATCCTGCCATTACCTTAGCAATGCTATCGTGAAAGCCTGGTGTGACCGTCGCCTTTATGTGACATTTATGGCTTACTGTGAAGACTTTTTAGCCTGTTGTCAATATTATTATATTTTTATGGGTAAATTGTAGCGCCTACTCTAACAGTGACAACGTTGAAATATATTACAATACCTGGCATATACCTGCTATATGATATGCTATATTTTTTGTCAATCCCTGGTTTTTGTGACAATGTTAAAATATATCATAAAAATGCCTGCTACAGTATGTGCAATGTGGATTGTGAAATGACCATTCTTTGAAGGTGTTGCAACATAGTCTCATAATTTACACATGTTGCATTGTACTCTCATCCTCTGATGTGTGTGGCCTCTTGACAATTTTCACATATTTTAACATGGGAAATCCTCAATTAATCAAATTCACTACTCATTTATTAATTACTCAGACTAGAAAAAAATCAGTCAAGTTGGCAAAGTATCAATATTATCAAATGCATTCAATTCTTATTTTTGATAAATTAAGATATCACACGTGAGTATACACTGCTTCTGTTCATTATGATTCAATAGTCTATAAGCATTTATCCATGAAGTGCGTCGGAACACTGGCGATTCCTACTCGGTACTACTATGGAATATATCTTATTATGCCTTCTAGGACGCTTATGCAAAGAAATGGTTTACATTCACTGGAAGCACGAGTTGGTACATACTTTGAACGTCTACCCAGCAATTATACCATGATAACAGTTTATCTCATTAACTAACAGAAGGTCAAAAACTGCTCGGTGACATACTTTCCAGCGAGCGTTGAAAATGAGGTCACGTTTACTTATGCTTCGATTAGCAGTAATGCCCAACGCATATGGATAAACAACTAAGAAAATGTTGCAAACATATTTAGGCACCGAATGCGCCACTCTATATTCAGTCTTACCTTATGCTGTCAGAAAGTTTTGAATAATTGTCGACATCAACATCGTCTGTTGTCAAATTAGCCGCCATATTTGTCGGGATTCAGTAAAACACAACTCGGGTCACTGACTTGCTGGAACGAAATTCGGAACACAGGATATTGATCACCCGGGGTGTATCTGATTCTGCCTTTAATATATTTGTTTAGCTTAATCATGTTTTTTAAAGTACTCTTGCTTTACATGCTATTTATTCAAATACACAAAACAATGAGAATTAAGCTATTTGTAGGTGAAAGCATTCTCATACTCATCACATTATCCTACCTTCAACGAGAAATTCCTTCCAGAACGAAGCTAAAAGAAGGCCATGATTTCTCATGATGGATTGATAGAGATCTTTCTGAGGACTTTACTATTAAATCACTCTGTAAAGCATAAATTACACATGAAAACAGTCTATATGACTCGTCAATTGATTGTCTATAGTTGTCTAGAGTACAGACAGTGTCTGTAGATTTATGGAATATTTTAGATAGTGAATGGTGGCATTGTTTAATGGTTGTAAAATTTTTATGTTGAAAAACAATTTAAAAAAGTAGAAATTAG